CTTTACCATATCAAGCTCTTCAACAATAGACATGTGACTTTACAATATCAAGCTCTCAATCATTCTGAGTCTATACAATTAGTGACTAAATTAAACAGACAAAGATCTGCCACCAACTTCGAATCTCTAAATAACAAAAACCGAAGATATTTCTTAAAACAACAACAGCTGACGATGTTCCTGACTTGGGGGGCACATAAATGTGCTGTGGGGTTAAACTAGTCTTATGATCAGCTGACGATGTTCCTGGCTTAGGAGAGCACATAAATGTGCTGTGAGGTTAAACCAGTCTTATAATCAGCTGACGATGTTCCTGACTTGGGAGGGCACATAAATGTGTTGTGAGGTTAAACTAGTCTTATGATATATATGTATATATACATCTGTAATTAACACACAGTTAACGACAATACAACATAATCACTTTACCTTGCACATGTATTTATTTCAGTCATAGAGTTTAATAACGCAAATGTCATCAAACGTTGTGCAGTCTGAATGTGATGAAGCATAAATATGCTTACATGTAAATAAAATTGAGAATGGAAATGGGGAATGTGTCAAAGAGACAACAACCCGACCATAGAGCAGACAACAGCCGAAGGCCACCAATTGGTCTTCAATGCAGCGAGAAACTCCCGAACCCGGAGGCGTCCTTCAGCTGGCCCCTAAACAAATATGTATACTAGTTCAGTGATAATGGACGTCATACTAAACTCCAAATTATACACAAGAAACTAAAATTAAAAATGATACAAGACTAACAAAGGCCAGAGGCTCCTGACTTGGGACAGGCGCAAAAATGCAGCGGGGTTAAACATGTTTTTTGAGATCTCAACCCTCCCCCTATACCTCTAGCCAATGTAGAAAAAACAAACGTACAACAGTACGCACAGTAAAACTCAGTTTAAGAGAAGTCCGAGTCCGATGTTAGAATAGGAAACAAAAGAAAATAAACAAAATGACAATAATACATAAATAACAACAGACTACTAGCAGTTACTGACATGCCAGCTCCAGACCTCAATTAAACTGATTGAAAGATTATGTCTTCATCATATGAATATCAGGCACAATCCCTCCTGTTAGGGGTTTAGTATTATACCATCATAAAATATATGAGAACATAACCCGTGTCATGCCAACAACTGGTTTTAGAATAAATATGTTTAATTCCGATGCAAAGACCCTATAAGTGAATCAATATTAAAGCCAAAATATGCAATCTTTAATGACCTGACAACAGTATCGTAACTATATCCCTTCTTAATAAGTCTGTTTAAAGGTTTTGTTAGCTTATGAGGTGAATACTGACATTTTTGTGCTTTGTAAAGAATATTACCATAAAAGATTGGATGTGAAATACCCGAACGTATAAGATGTCTGCATGTTGAGTTATATTTACGAATGATGTCCTTATACCGATGATAAAATTTAGTAAATGTTTTAACTAGTTTATGATATCGAAAACCCTGGTGTAATAATTTTTCAGTAATACATAAATTTCTCTCGCTAAAATCTAATACGTTGTTACATACACGAGCGAATCGTACAAGTTGAGATATATAAACACCATAAGATGGTGACAAGGGAACGTCACCATCTAAAAATGGATAATTAACGATAGGAAATGAAAAATCATCTCTTTTATCATAAATTTTTGTATTAAATATTCTTAATATCATCAGATTATCATTCTGGCTTATACATTCTTAGTGTTGGTTTGAAATTTGTTCTTTAAGCTTGTTTTTCATATAAATACTCAAAACTTAACAATTCCTGTCATAAGTTGATGGATGTTCATTTACATAGCATAATGTGTAAGAACTTGTCATTGCAACATGAAGAAGTCACGTGACATTTAAGGTTCGCGGACTTTTGGAAATTGCTCTGCTATGAAATACATACTAAGGACATTTGATCCTTCCTCTTTTAGTGAAGGTTGATTTGTATAATATATACATATATAGTACATATTCGCCAATAGTGATATTGACGTCGATCAACGTGCACTGCCGTTTTCTTTATTGAATAGATCGACGATCATAGTAGTAGTGTCAACGTATATTTGTTCCGCCTAACAGAAGTTCCACTGGAAACTTTGTTATAAACAATGTCATAATATCTGTTCCTGTTGGAACAAATATTCTATACCATTTATTCCGTTAGGAACATTTACTGTAATATTTATTCCAGTGGAAATAATATTCCAGAATACTGTTTCCATTTGGAACTTATATTATGAAGGAACTTGTATTCCGTGACAGTAGTCGCTTGTTGTTGCAGACAGAACTCATTCGTTGAAACTGTTATTCATCTGCTTTCATTTAAACTCATTTTCATAAACATATTTAAATATACAAATAGTACATCCTGTCAAACCAGGAAATGGGCTTGCTTTACACAATACCATGTTTTCCATGAGAGAGGGAAACCTCGGACAAGTCTTTCCCATTTTCAAATAACTGTTGTTTTTTTTCTTTTTATTTCTAACATCAGGATTGGATAAAGTGTATTCGTGAGACAATGCGTCAAATACAAAACAACTCAAAATAGACAGTCATTAGCTAAATCAATAAATACACGACAATATTACTAGATAAGCTTGGGACATCACAGTATTACTAGATAAGCTTGGGGCACCACAGTATTACTAGATAAGCTTGGGGCACCACAGTATTGCTAGATAAGCTTGGGGCACCACAGTATTACTAGATAAGCTTGGGGCACCACAGTATTACTAGATAAGCTTGGGACACCACAGTATTACTAGATAAACTTGGGACACCACAGTATTACTAGATAAACTTGGGACACCACAGTATTACTAGATAAGCTTGGACACCACAGTATTACTAGATAAGCTTAGGGCACCACAGTATTACTAGATAAGCTTGGGGCACCACAGTATTACTAGATAAGCTTGGGGCACCACAGTATTACTAGATAAGCTTGGGGCACCACAGTATTACTAGATAAGCTTGGGCACCACAGTATTACTAGATAAGCTTGGGACACCACAGTATTACTAGATAAGCTTGGGGCATCACAGTATTACTAGATAAGCTTGGGGTATGGGACTTTAATATGGGGCAATCATACACTGCAAAAAATGTGGCGTCCGTCTTGAGCAGTAATTTGAGGAAAAGCGAACATTTTGGGGCTAAATGTAGTTGTCTCATTGGCAATCATACCACATTTTCTTATCATTATATGTCTAATGTTTGGTTTAAGTCTTGTATCACACATGGTGGTCCGATAGAGAACGTGTGTCGTAAAGTTATCTCATCTTAAGACTTATATCATAAAATGCTATAGATTTGACTGCATGATAAGTACTTATAGTATCACCCCTTATGGCATGCAGACAAAACCACCAGCTAATCTGCTAGGTACATGCCACAATACACCATGTACTGTATAACAACATGGATAAATCAACGAGGAAAGTTATATTTGTGATGTCAATCATAAGCTTGAGTTATATCTGCGATAGAATAATGCTGTAAAAGATCTAGCTGAATGGCTTCATTTTAGTACAAACTAATTTGATAATAGCTGACTAACATTTAATTTCTTAATGTCCTTGAAATATATCATTATTTTTTAACTATGAGAGTAGATTGCAAATCAATCAAAGATTTTCAAAAACCTAGGCAATATATATCGACACTAGTTTTAAGATTTACCTTGAAGATGAGCACATTTCCTATTTTCTATTTTACCTTCACATATTAAATCGGCCCTGCAAATCAAACTTTTTATTTCGAGTTGTGAAATAACAGCCAAAGAATGAAATATTTGTATATGAGTTGATAAAAGTATTAGAACATTTTCAGGGTGTTCAAGAAATTCAGTTTTTTTCTGATTTCTGATGAAGTGTGTCGAAAGAGAGGCAAGACACAAAAGACTCGATAAAACGAGTGGAAGCAGTGGTGGATCCAGAACTTTTTATAAAGGGGGGGGGGGGGCACTGACTGCTATAATAGGGGGCCCCGCATCAGTCATGCTTCAGTGAATCCCTATATAATCAACCAATTTTTTCCCACGAAAGGGGGGAGGGCCTGGGCCCCCCTTGATCCGCCTATGGGAAGATATATGTTCTTCAATTTTAAAAGAGCGCCTTTGTTTCGAAAAGCTTGATATCTGAGGGCCTGAATGGGTTTTATAGAAAAGAAAATACTTGGCAAATACAGAAATAAGAGAAGACACAATGGCTTTAAAACTAAGGAATACAGAAACGGAGACCTTCATATCTCTATTTATTGTTTATGCTAGAAATAGATTTTGAACTATCTGAATCGTCTTGAAAGTTTAGTATGTTGTGTTTTTGCAGACATATTTACATGTGGTTAATTAAGATTTGTCAAGACTGTTTTTAGAATAATCAGTAGCTGTTATCCCCTGTAAAGTGACTGGATAGTTGTGAATTGACCGCAAGCATAATGACTTATTAGAGTATTGGATTTAACGCCAGAAAATATCTGAAAAATACCTTAAACTCCAAAACAATGCTCGGACATTTCAGATTTCTTTATTGTGTTACTGTAGATGCACACGAAAGTTTAGCTAAAAAGCATGGAAATGAAAGTCGATGATACAATATTTATTTTACATGTAATAGTAAAAGGGGTCAGCAGTTACGTTTGCACTATCTTTCAATAATATCATATGAAGAAGGACAGCATAAACTTTGTAAATTCGGCATGTTGTGGGTAACCAGATTATTTCAAGAATTTTAATTTCTCTCGTGTGATTTATTAATGATTCATCTTTAATAGAGACTTATTACTTAAGTAATATTTTATTTGGACAACATACACTAATTTTTCCAGCTTATGACAGACCATTAAATGCAATTGTTCATGTATCCTGTACCCTTTCAATAAAGAGGTTGCACGATTGTCGTGTTGGGTTGAGTCATACATTGCACCAATGACATGAAACTTATTTCCATTCATCTCTTATGGGCTCTTGATAAATCTATATCAACATTGAAATAATTGTTTCTTTTTTTTAATATATGAACCACATGTTCATATAATATCATAATACATAAACATATTAATTTTTCATATTTATAACATGTACAATAACTCTTCACTGGACATCACATAAGTTAGGAATGTACTTATATCCAATGAACACATTAAACTCGCTTATATATGCTTTCACAAAATATAAAAAAAACAAATAATATAACATTTCTCCAAATATTTTGATTTCAGTTCGACTAGAAAGAGACTACATAACATATTAGAACTCTTGTATTTTGATTAATTAGTAAGGCTTTCAAAGAATGACTAATTTGACCCGTGTAAAATATGAGACAATGGAATGCTACAATGATTTTTACTATCACTCACTCGCATCCATACAAGAATGAAGAGAAAAAGAATGGCAAGAAAAAAAAGAATTGTCAGGCACTGTTGTTTTGATTAATCTTTCTGGTAATGCCACAACCGTTTGAATTCATTTATATAAACAACAAACACAATGAATAAACACGGGTAATGGCTTAAAACAGTATCTTTACGCTGATTTTTTTCAGCTACGATAAAAGTTAATATAAATGTTCTCGCAATTCACTGGATTTCCTTGGAATTAGCAAAGTCTGGTTACCTTACACTGGAAACAAACTAAGCACATTTGTCTTTTGGAATTATCAGCACTTTTAGACATTCGGAACATCTCTTCATCATACCTCAACCAGATGATATGTAAATAGATGATTTTGAATAAATATTTAAATTTCAATCTCGGATATTATCGTCCTTTTCTTGTAACTTTGACTTAACATCCACTTGATTGGCCGAGGACACTTGTGTATTTTGAGAAGTAAAATTTTTGTCAATAACTTTTAACATTTCATTTAAATAATTCTGAACAGCAGTCAGTGAAGCAACAATGGCGGGCGAACCAAAGCCATGTGTTATTAAACTGAAATGTGTAAGATGTCTTTGAATTCCTGGTTCTAGAATGGTCTGTGGTCGAGTATTTCCTAGTGGAGATCTATCTTGATTGAGAAGATCCATGAATTCTTTCAAGATTTGCCTACAAATATAAATATATTTGTTAATTAAAACAAGACAACAATTAATAATATCAAAATTTAGCAATAGGTTCGTTTCATTGAATGTACACAACATTTACAAACACCAGGAGTGTTTAACATTCAGAGGCAAATATATCCTTCTTATTCAATACCATGTTAATTTCATATAAATAAAGTGTATTGTATTTTACCAACACGTCGAGTAGTTATACCAAAGAAAGTAACAGTACACACAAAAACATGGGCAGCCTACCACGACTTATTAAACGTTTGACTCCTAGCCGACGAATTATATCTCAGTGGAAGCAAAAACCAAATTTAAAGTCTTCAGTTTAAAAAGATCACGGGTTGAAACTCAACGTTCCACACTCAAGGCCACATAGGCAAATAGCTTCAAATATATCTACTTTGAGTTGTACGCATTTATTCCTGATTATCATATACAACTTTCATTTATCTGTAAAAAATTTTAAAAAATCTGAAAGTTTTCTGAAAAACCTTCAAATTGAAATTATATCCTTAGCTTCTAATTTTAATTTCCTAGTTTTGTATGAATTGCTGATAACCCAATATTGCTCCCAGAAGAAAGTCCACGAGTAAGATTGCTCAGACCAATCAGATTATTTGATAAAATGATATAATACAATACAAAACAGAACAGATTCATCCATCTCTCCGTGACTCAGCAAAATTTACCACAGGTTAGATTTAACATGTTTTACGTGATAAAAGAACAATGCGGAATTTTGAAAAATTGAAATGCATACTAATTTCAAAGCTGCTCTAGGAGTAGAACAAAAGTCTATGCTTACTTTGTAGCTAAAATCATATTTTTTCTCGTTACAAGTTCTGACGGATCTTGTGTATTATATTGTCGACTGTTATATTCAGCACACTGTCTGCCTGGAAATTCAGTCTCACACAGGTACCCGTAATCTCGTGCTAACCTTACTGCCTCTCCTATAAAAAGTAAAAAGGTAACCAATTACACTAATGTAATATATTTAAAGTGATAGAATGTAGTCAAATGGGAGTAGTTAAAAATCATGAATGGCGTCATCACAATGTGGGAAAATGCTCAGATTAATCCTAAAATGTAAAATTGAATTGGGACAGTAAAATCTATATTAAATCATCATCCATGTCGCCTAATGAATGATAAACATGTATATATTTGAAGGTAATGGGCATGGTTCGGTGATCTGATGAGTAGGTATAGCTTGTCATCCATCTATCACTACAGTTGACAACAAGGAAAAGCTTACACGTCTCACCACTGAAAGCATTACCTTTTAGGAATGTCAATTCGTTAACTTTACTAATAATATTTATATATACTTATTAAGTATATATGTCATTCCGGTACTTATTTTGTAAATGTCTTCTCGCTATATTCAAGAAACCGTGACATAATGTTTCTTTATCATTTACCGTCTAATGTGTCTTTCTATTGAACTTATTTTTGATTCTTTGGTTAGATATGAAAATAAGAAAATGTGGCATGCTTGCCAATGAGACAACTCTCCACTAGAGACCAAATGACATAGAAGTAAATAACTATAGGTCATCGTACGACCTTCAATAATGAGCAAATTTTTGGAATCATTGAAGACCCTTGGCAATCTCTGGGCCGGTGTTTTTTTTTAGAACATGTGTTGTCATTAATGCAATTCAACATATTTTATTCCTATCGAAGTGTCATATGTTTATCATAACTATGTTTATTTTTCTTACCTCTTAATGTGGTCATTCTTACGTTATTTTTTTAATTTCTGTTCAACATGTTTAAAAAGTGTGATACCACAAGTACAAATACAAACGCAAATTCATTGTTTAGTTGATATAAATGATGCGAACTTCCCTTGGTTGTCTTAACCTCTGTTGAATGACGTCTGAATACCGCTTGTGGTCGTTATTCCTCTGTGTGTAAATGCATTTTGGGTGATTTTTCTTTTTGTTTTATGATCTTTTGGAAATAAAATTACTTTGTTTATATTTCTTATCTTTGTTTTCTTCACTTACCCTCGACTAGTGACGTCAGAAGCGTGACGTTTGCAGCCTTACGTCTTCCGGCTGGTAAGCTCAGACCAATTTTATCTAACTTTTCTCGAAGCGATCTTCCTCCATTTTTAGATTTAGCTCTACAAGAACGAAACATATGTATAATTTTAGAGGATAATAAAGGACTAATTATCAGATCAAACAACGAATAATAGTAGAGCCAAAAAAAAATGATTTTAATATGATCTGTAGAAATTTGAGTGATGTCGTTTTACATATATTGATATATAAATTTATGCAGTGGTACTGCATTTCTTATTTGGGGTTTAAGACTTGAATTAATCGGTACTTGACGTCTGACTTTTCAATTTAACCAGTCATAATACTTAGACTTCATAATACTTATATTTTATAGCCTAGAGCTATGTAATCTAAAATCCTCTTTTGGACTACTTTTGACAGCTTTGTCGTTCTGAGATTACCTGATCTTACGCGATATATCATAATGCCTCTTTAAACCTTCTTGGGTCAGGAAAAGGTGAAAGAGCGTAAAATCGAAATACGCTTGGCTTACTCTGTTTGTATACGGTCTTATATAGACGGTCGTTACTTTCTTTTCATTTTATGAATTTAGACCACTGTACATAGTAATGAGACAATAATTAAGGAAAGTTTTACATCAAAGAGATGCACATTTCTTTAATCTTTACAAATTTTAACATCAAGATATTTTATAAAGCTCAAACTTAACTTGAAGTTCCAAAAGGTCAACAATCTGCAAAACATCATATTTGTGAATGTATGGAGCGCTCCCGCTGACATAATGAAAGACTAACAACTAAGCGTTAATGTCAGTCTGTTAACGACTTCTAAACTTAGAGTCCGTCCATTGTGTCTATTGATTATATTAAGATTTGAATTTGTTTCATAAATTTAAATTTATGGACGAAATTATAGTAATTTAAGCATATGAATAAAAGTGGAAGTTACAATCTTGTACAGCTGGCTGAATCTATTATGTAAATGGGTCAGACAAAAGATTTACCATTTTGATTCCACGAAAAATAGTTCCTATCTTACTTTTAGCGCACGACCATTATAATGTAAACATATAGTTAATTATTTTTCTGTTTTACTTACCGACGAAGAACGCCACCTAATAGAGATGCGTTTAAACATTCAGGAGGAGATAATCGTCTTTGGACTTCAGCAACAGTTACTTTATACTTTGATGTTGAACTCAGTAAGGACAGTCGTCCTGGCACTGAACAGAATATGTCTCCAGGGGAGGTTATTCCTGATATAATTAATTCTTTACCATTTTCAGTTTTAGGTCGAATTCCTGCAACCAAATTGAAATGAATTAGAATTAAAATTAATGCTAGCACATCGATCAAATATTATTAGATGAAACTACCAGAAGAACGATAGTCTTGTCCTGTAAACACCTTCATACAATATCCAATTGCAGTATCCAAAACAACATGCACAGTAAATGATGTGTCAGAGGTGAATTTAGAGGGGGCGGGGTGCCTGTGTCCCCCTTATGAAGCTACATTTATGGTTAATCCAGACTTTTTTCCTGTTGCACTCCAAACTCTGTCTAGATTGGGGGGTCCCGGGCCCATCCTTTTTCAAAATCCTGGATCTACATCTGTGAATTTTTTGGTGGACTCCATGTAGTGGGTTAGGAAGAGAAGAGTGTTAAACATATAACATATTCTTAACAGGGAATATACCCATATAACTTTTAAATAAAATCTTTAGATAGAAACGTTAAAAGTAGAAGACAACTAATATATGCATAACAATGCAAAGAGAACAAAATAATAATTGATTGGTGATTGCTTCGTATCCAGAGGGTATGTTTCATATTTAGGGCAGAAAAATAATAAACAATAAAGTAATCAGATAAGTTCTGCATATAGTGTACCAACCAGGATCAAGAAGAGGGGAGGGGGATTTGAACAGCCTTCACTGGTGAAAAGTATGTTAGGTAGGAACAGAAATTCTGCTAATAGGTCATTAACGGACCCACTGACTGAATTGTTGCAAGGGTTCTGTTAAGTATCGTGGGATTCTTTAAACATGACGCATCGGATTTGGCGTAACCATACCGACTAGACCGTGCTGCGGCGAATTTATAGACCAAGCACAGCAACACAGACTCCTCCTCAACACGTTCTTACTGCCGGCCGGGAGAATAACTGATGACCATGTACATAAATCCACTACCATTTTGAATTGAATTTAAATCTGACGTTAGGAGCAATAAAAGCAAAATCCGAATACAGATGCACTAGTACATTGATAAGTGGTACAACTGTGTGTGCATGGCTTAAGAATGTGCGTTGGGATTTGAGAAGATACCTTACATAGGCTGAAAAACCCGAAAACACACAAAGAACGAGAAAAACCGAAAACACACATATAAATCCTAAATATTATATATGCCTGCGTTATCACGACCGATTGTGTTAAAAGACAATACTACTAATTTTACCATATTAACTAAATGATTTGCTGTTGTGTTGTAAAAAGGGACTTAGGAAAAATCAATTTGTTGTATATTCAATTTGTAAAAATTCTTAAACGTTCTGGAAATCTGACAACGGCAGAAGAATCCCGTCCAAGTACTCAGCTCGTCTTAATTGCAAAAATCTGTCTATGACGACCAATTTAAATACAATTTTGGGTCATTATCTGCAGTTCTGATGATATTTAGCTTGAGTGAAGTAATATAATTTATCTCTTATTCGACTCTCCTCTCAAATGATTTGCTAATTACGATGAAAATTGTGTTCTTGGAAATTTGTTCTCAAATAAGACTCATTGCAATTGAGCGAACATTATGGTGACTAAACGCATATAGAACATTCTTTTCAAGTTTTTTTTTGTATCCAGACAAATGCAAATAGAAAAATTTAGATATGCATGCCATGTACATCGGCGAATGCACCGTCAATAAGAGAAAAAAGGTTGCACATATAAACTATTTTGCATATCAAATGATACATTTTGTCTTCAAATTTACAAATCATAAATCAAGCAAGGGTTGCAACTTCCCGGACAAAGTTATTTTAGACGGTTTTTGTCAAGATCTGTTATGTCCTTCTGGCTTTTAAACTATCAAATATGTTATTTTTGTGGCTTATCAAACTTTTAGTCTGGAATGTACCTAATGAGGATTATTCAACAAGACAATTATATTCTAAAGTTTGAAATAGGCTGTGTAAGTTTCAGCGGAATATCTTTTAGCAAAAGAAGAAAAAAGATTGTCAGAAGTTCACGTTGACCTTAGGTTAAAAAAAGAAACCATTCGTTTGATGTGTAATTGGTTAAGTGTGTTTTGACATTGATAAAACCAGACGGTCGTGAATGCTCCTTGTCACATCAATTCCGAAAGGTATTTTAAAAAGGAGTATTTTATTTATTCAATGTTTCTCGTCATTAAATTAACGAACAGTTGAACCGAATGATTTTTTTTTCGTTTCCTTGTAAATCGGGATAATTTTATGTTGTCGATTTCCCATGAAGTAAATGGATTTTGGTACTAATTTCATACAGATAACATCAGCTTTTAACGTGTAGTTTTAATTTCTTTTACAAAGTATCTCATCTTGTCTGAAATAAATATAATCGTGGGGGTCACGAAAGAAAAGAAGATATGAGGAGGGGATAGCAAAAGTGAAAAAACAGAAAACATTAGTCCAAAAGAAAAAAACCCGAAAAATGGCTACAAACAAAGTAACTCGTAAAACAACCCTGACAATATGTTCGGTAACAAGTATAATTTTGAGAAGCAAGAAATATGAAAGAAAAATAAATAACATACATAGGGGAAATACAAAATCAATAGTCCATATAAATGTCTCCAAGTATGACTCGTTAACGGAAGGCTGGATTTTTTGTTTTGAACTGGTGAATCCAACTGATGCATCTAGATTCTATCTTTTTAATCAATTTATCATCATTATACTTCGATAGTTGAAACAGTACAGTAAATTTAAAGTTTTTGTCTCATTTTTTTTTTGATCGAGATGATCAATTAATGCAATGTTATTGCGGTGGTTTTTTTTTAATTTGGACTCCAACCTGAAATTTTTTTCAACAATTTTCAAATCCTTTGTGTAGTCTTTGGAGGACGGTTGTCTCATGGTAGTCATAAACATTTCTTTATTTTCTAATAAGAGAGCACCTCAAAAACAAAGGATAGAAAACAACACATAAGAAAGAGTGAAAACCGAAAAGATTTACAACAGTCAACGAGTTATACAGAAAAAAGTAACACAAGCCTTAAAATTGAGTCGGCAATATATATATATAAATATTGAGATAAGGCATCTGCTGTCTATCACATCGATTTACAAGACAGTAGTTGGATAGTGTGGAAAACAGGCTAGTCCATCTAAAGTTAGCTCATTTTACTTGGAATAATGCTGTCTGTGATTACTAGAATTTTAAAAGCCCTTTGAAAATCGTAGTTGTTACTTAAACAAGAATTAATCATTATATATACTATCCAATTTACATACTAAAAAAACGTATACTACATTTGATTAAACATTTCTGAATAGAGGAAGCGGGTATTTAATTATCCGATGTACCAAATTAAGCAAAGTAATGCACACGTCTACCTGTTTTACATGTGGTTAGAACCAGTAATGTGTAACCGGGAGCAGAAACCATGAAATCGTTTTCTGGATATCTCTATTATACTAACACCAATTAAATAACTAGGCCACCTGCCTCCGTAGTCATGTTTCCTTTAAAATCCGTACCATGCTAGTAGGTTGCACAGATTTAATAGTACGTCAAATTTTCAACAGAAATTGGAATTTTATTACGTTGAAATTAAAGTTAATATTTTTCTAATGGAAGTCGACCCGCGAAGGGAGGTGTTCACAATAAACCGTCAATTTGTTTCAGGAAAATAGTCTTCTCTTGTGGTTTGGTTCGAAGATAATAAGTTCAAGGCAATGATAACATACATCAAATTCTGCTACAAATAATTACAAGACTTTGATTCCAACATGTGAAAGGTAGATTGCTTCTTGATAAGTACAAAAGCAGTGTTTATAGAAAATAGCATTAGATTAAGGACATACATTACTGTTGATATACTGAATTGCAAAACCATACCAAGTATGAAATATAAAAACTATGTGGTGTGATTACTAATGAGACAAGTCTCCACCAGACCAAATGACGTAGAAGTAAACAACCAACTATAGACCACCGTAGGGTCTTCAACAATGAGCAAAAAATCGTGAAATGCCTATTGCATGATAACAGACGACTGAGGGTGGTCTTTTGTCCACGTTTTATATGCAAATACTAGGTTTTTTAAATAAAAAAATTGCAACTTAGGGAAAACTTTTCTCGTACAGATTTGATTGAAATTCGTTGCCATTTGTTTCCTTTAAAGACAAACGTGATACAGAAGTTCTTTGGAATTTGTAAGTATAATGGACCTTATATTAGAGGATTATGAAAGCAGAAAGAACGGGATTCCAATGGTTTCTTACATTGTCTATGGACTTATTAGAGGATTACATGTGTGATCATACATGGGTTTTTTTTATTGTATCGTCTGCTTACCTTTTCTGATGACTCCATGGCTATCGGCAATGTAATTATTCGTATCCTCTATAATGTTCTGAAAGAGAAAGGGACAAAAATTAATTCTATAAAAGAACATTATCTAATTAATTGATGTTAAAGGGAAATGTGTTGTGAAAAACTAAAACGGTAATCAGTATTACGGTCACCATGACAACATAGTATAACTGTCGTAATTTCTGAAATGAAAGGTAACTGTAATCTGTCACTTGCCAAGATGTCGACTATATGCTATCAATCAAAAAATTGTATCAACATGGACCTGTAATGGCGACAAAGTAACACGTAATTGACTTTCACTCAAAATTTCAAAAACAAAGATATATAAAAATCATAGATAAATATCTTCCATTTCGATGGGTTGTTTTATCAAATTTAAATCTACACTATCAAATCTTTTATAGTTAAAATTACTATTCACCCACCCGAAACTATTCATTTGCAATTTCAGATTTGTGAGAATGGTCAATTAAATAGACATTAAATGTGTTTGGATAGAAGTGAAGGCCAGTACCGGCTAGTAATGGTCATCTTATTGTGCAATGCCAAAGGAATGTCATTGTGGGCTGACCTACAAATGTCGTGGGTTTTAATAGGTGTTGTATCATTTTCCGGCTTAAATTCCAATTTAAAATAAATTGAAATTAATTTCTGAAAACTGAACCGCATCCTATTTTACCAAACCAATTTTACAAAAATCTAAGAAGGGACACTTCCAAGATTTGTTTGTCCAAATTGGTCCAAATGTTAACATCCGACCTCCTAAAATGAATTAAAATGAAGAAAATAAGAAAAAAATAGATCGTTGTTAAAAAATTCAACGCGCACTTGCAGATAAGGAACATAATTTTGCCTCAAAATGTACACAACAGGTACAAACACACGACTTTGTAGTCAGTACTTAATTATTAACATTTCAATAGATGAGACATCCATGCATCCAAATATATATAATTCAAATTTTGCACAACACTCAGTATACTAGTACTTTATGAAGATTGTAATTCAGAAGTGAAGTGTTCATTTGAGTTTGAAACACCAACTTGTCCCTTAATTACCCTTACCGTTGTATATTTTGAACTATGCAACAAATTATCTGTTAAACCCAAATTCTATGCAAAACACAAAATAAAACTGAACAAATAATAGATATAAGAAGATGTGGTATGAGTGCCAATGAGACAACTCTCCATCCAAGTCACAATTTATAAAAGTAAACCATTATAGATCAAAGTACGGTCTTCAACACGGAGCCTTGGCTCACACCGAACAGCAAGCTATAAAGGGCCCCAAAAATTACTAGTGTAAAACCATTCAAACGGGAAAACCAACGGTCTAATCTATATAAAAAACGAGAAACGAGAAACACTTATGAACCACATCAACAAACGACAACTACTGAACATCAGATTCCTGACTTAGGACAGGTGCAAACAATTGCAGCGGGTTTAAACATTTTAATGGTACCAAACCTTCACCCTTATCTGAAACAATAGTGTAACATCACAACATAGAAAGGCACACTATAAAATATCAATTGAAATGGCTTAACTCAATCAAAAGACATATTTACACCAGTGAACATACACTGAACAAATAAATTTGATCTATGATACAATGTAAATACAAAATAAATAAACTAAGGGAAGAATAATTAAAGTAACGTGTTATATCGCTGTGAATTGTTAAACAATTTAAGAAAAACAATATACTTGAACAAAAATATCAGCCATTTGCAATTTCTATAAACACTGGTAAATGAAAATAATTTTGTTGTTAAGTATACGTGTACAGTTCAAATGGAGAAAGGAAATACTTTTATAAAATAAATAATTTTGATGTTCATAGTACGAAGAAGTGAAAATTTATAGTAATACCAAACACTTATCAAAGCTGGTATATAGACCAGATATAACCCTGAATAAGTAAACATTAAATAACAAAAAAGCATTACAATTAGTATCAACAGGTCAAATAAACAAAGTAATAAGTTCGTTTTCTCCTTACTTTCAGAAACTGCACATGAATAATATTGAGAACTTAGTACATCTATTTAAGAATGATTTATTTATAATTTGGATAACATACTAACTATATGTGAAAACAAAAATAAGTCCCACTCTAATCAAAGTAAGAGGCACTGTGGGTTATACATACTAGTATATGTCGTCCCACTCTAATCAAAGTAAGAGGCACTGTGGGTTATACATACTAGTATATGTCGTCCCACTCTAATCAAAGTAAGAGGCACTGTGGGTTATACATACTAGTATATGTCATGTGGGTTATACATACTAGTATATGTCGTCCCACTCTAATCAAAGTAAGAGGCACTGTGGGTTATACATACTAGTATATGTCGTCCCACTCTAATCAAAGTAAGAGGCACTGTGGGTTATACATACTAGTATATGTCGTCCCACTCTAATCAAAGTAAGAGGCACTGTGGGTTATACATACTAGTATATGTCGTGTGGGTTATACATACTAGTATATGTCATGTGGGTTATACATACTAGTATATGTCGTCCCACTCTAATCAAAGTAAGAGGCACTGTGGGTTATACATACTAGTATATGTCGTCCCACTCTAATCAAAGTAAGAGGCACTGTGGGTTGTACATACTAGTATATGTCGTCCCACTCTAATCAAAGTAAGAGGCACTGTGGGTTATACATACTAGTACAAACAAATGTATATGTCATAAAAAGAAAAGATACCAAGTAGAGCCACATAAAAAATCATAAATCGGAGGACAGGCATCATCATTACCGTAAGATCAACAGACGAACAGACAAAGAATAATCAGCAAGACATTGCATGGATCAGATGAACTCAAGTTCTCTAGGGTGGTTTCCCATGATATTTTAATGTCCGACTATAAGTATTTGGGGATAAATTATGAAAGCAGAAAAAACAGGATTTATATTGCGAAAAATGGCGTAGACCTGTGGTTACCGTATCTGTTACACAGATATTCGGTCAACCAATGACGACCGATAGAAATGTCGTAAATTTTACCACTGTGAACCCTTGGTTCAGTGGCTTCCAAGTATATAGATTGATTGCTGTTTGTTTATCGTCTTGAGGCAAACATATCATGCATGTTCCGGACGAGCTTCCAAATAGACAACAATCCTCTATCCAATAAGTCCTTTTACAAAAACGTCTGCAATATCGTTTCGAAATGGGATATATACACAATACTTTGGTGCAGCTGGAATGTTGCTATATTAACTGGGAGAAGTCACCTATTATGTCGATAATCGCGTGTATCCATAGTCTCTTAGTGTCGATAATCGTGTGTGTCTTTTTTTTTAAGATTCAGTGGGATAAATTCGATCAACTTATTAAAAATAAGGATATGTGGTATGATTTGAAACTAATTACCAAAGACCAAAGGGTGAATATGTTACCATAAAAAGGTTATATCTAGTTAAACCATTATTTCCTAGACTAAATTATCAATCAGTACACCTCCTATAGATTAATTACAAAGATATCATCAGTAGTTTTAGAAATAAAATGGCCTTGTACCTCATCTACATAGCGAACTTAAAGGATAAGTGCAATATTTTCCTGTTGAAAAATTTCAGTCATTATGATTGAATAGTAGTTTCAATATGTTTATAACAACTTTTTTACTGTCATCAAACAGTCGTCATGGTTGGCCTTACATGTATTTTATATGGATATTATTATATAACCAGTACAAAATTATCTTGGAAGTTTTTAGTATTGATATTTCTGATCTATGTAACATGGTCTTACTCTGACATGTATACATCGCGGACAGGTATGAATTTTAGGTAGAAATACTTCGCAAAAGTGACAAACCGCACCTTTCTCGATAAATAAGTACACATTGCTCATCTGTCAGAATGTTGTTGATTCTTTGATGGGAATGAGTGATAAAAGAGCTGTAAAATGATCATTTATATGATGCATGGTCTACTAGATGAAGGCAATAGATTTTCTAATATGTCCATGTTTCAAATAATTTATTTCTAGGTCAGATATGAGTTATCTAGAAAACAAGTAAAGAAATGTTATTATAGACTGCTGTATATTACTCAAGTTATGGAAGCTTGTCCGGCCTTTCGATAATTTTGGCATTAACCATAATCATTAAAATTATATTTAGGTCTATACTGCATACTTGCAAATATATACTTGGGACAGAGCACTAGCCTTATTGAAAGCTTAGCCTTTAGTGCCAGTAATTTCCTTACACAACAACCTTGAATTGAAACACGACTCCCTTTTAAGAATAGAGAATATATAAAAATGAAATGTTGATTTAAAGCTTAACTAATTTCGTATGATAATTACATTTTGACCACCGTTGCATAATTTCCCATTAAGTATTATTGTCCAGAAAAAGGTCATCAAATATAGATTTTCTCACTAAATGTTATTCAGAATCGCGGGATAGATTAAATTATATTGTAAACGTGGTCATTTCTTTGTTGGACACTATGTAAGAAGTCTATGGCTATGCGTGAATTCAGACCCCTACTTACAAAATTGAATAGGTGTCATGACACCTAGGAAAGATTAGTTTTAGAGGCTTTTGAGAAAAATAGGTTTTTTTCGCTTGTTGTAATTTTAGTACAACCGAAGTGACAAAATAAATGTATATAAAATGTTCTTAATTATGTTGATCCGAAAGTAAACATATTTTTTACCTGTTCAACACCTTTAAAAAAGTGGTAACCTTAAAATTTCATTTAAAAAAAAATCTTTTTTAACATCTTAAAATTCTAAAGTAATAATTTATCTAAAATCGTTCAGTAATGGGCGGATGTTCACATCATTACTACAAATTTTAAGAAAAATTAATGTTATGTGATATACTCAGTACAAGTATATGATGTGTTGTACATAAAAATGTCTTTTGGTAAAATACATTTCTAAAAGAAAAAATCCTTCAACCTGGAACGACCAGGTACATCATAATATATTAATATGTATAAAATACATTTTTGATTTATGATTATTTTCTGACAAATTGTGACTATAAATGAATTTTAAATTCTGATACGAAATTTTATAGCAAAAATATTAAAGATTATTTTGCGCAACATTGAAAATAATTAAAAGAAAAAGGTAACTAAAAGCATACTATGAAAAATAAGGAAGCGGTTAAATATTACTTACAAAACGGAACAAATCCTATCTACGATTCATTTTCCATAACTGTTATGTCTATTATAAGAAAAGTCATTTAATAGTCTAGCTAACGCGTGCCGTTTAGTTTAGCCCGGGGTGCACTCCACGGTTTTGAATGGCTTTATCTATTATGCGGTATAGCTTGCACTTGTAATATCCCCCAGGGTACTTGTAACAATACCGGAGTCAATAAGTTTATTTGTATTTTCATTTAAAGAACGAAAACAAATATTCAAATTTATTCAATTTCGCTTCTGATTTTTACCTTTAATTCTAACAGCAAATATTTTATTTACACTTGTTTTTAGAAAATCATGGAAAAGTAGCGGGACTAAATTTTCCCACCCTGGTTGATGAAGAAATTTCAAAAGAATAATAAAGTTACATTGAATTGAAGCTATTCAAAATGTCATAATGGTTTCGATTATTCAAGAATTCTGAAAACTCTTAGTAAGCGATAGTAATTTGAAACTATTCAAATAACACATAATGACAGAGATTTACAGATCTACGACTTTTATAACCATTAATTTTATAGAAACAACATTTAAACTCTAATTTTATTCTAGCTACACTTCGTCAAATTCAAGAAATGTTAAATAGTTTTTAAATATATCTATATCTTCAGTTAATTATATCTAATCGAAAAAGGAAGAAAAAATTAAGATTTATCAAAACCGAAATAAGTAAAAATGTAACAAATATTCCAAATCAAAAATGAATATTATATAAAAAAAAAAAACGTAATGTCTTACTTGATGAACAGCATCTTCAATGGCCTGTGTTACTGAATTATGGTGCACAAAAGACCCGTCGTGTTCACCAAATCCTAAATGGCCACCGGGGACTAAAACATCAGAGCGTCTAAATCCTCCATAGTCTAACCTCCGGGAATCATTAGGTGCCGTAAGTCCATGCATGTTATGAATGGGTTCTTCTTTATAACGGATAGCTCTACTGTCCGGAACATGAATTTGTTGATAATTTTGGGATCCTGGATGGAAATTACTTAAATGAGAATATGAGTCTGTATTAAAATGAGCATGGTGAAATTCCATTCCTTGTTGTGCCTGGAGGTTATATGGCGGAGGAAAGTATGGAGGCTGGAAGTCAGATGTTGGAGTGTGAGATAGTCTTGGAGCCGGCGGAAATGATCCTGTTGTAGACATAGAACTGACCAGCTGACCAAGTCCTCCATGGCTGGAAACATCTCGTCTTTCCTGAAATAATAAAATGAAAGAAAATTGCAATATAGCCATAATTATAATTAAGATATCTTTGCGACGCTTAATTGACGAATTTAGCTCTAAGCAACTGGAAAATAAAACAAATATGTATCAAAAAGGCTGCAAAACATTACTATCATATAATTATTATATAGATACCTCCGTTTCAACATTGCCAGTGTATGCCGATGGCATGTCTCGTTTGTAATAATTCGGTGATTGATCGAGATCGGTGATAGAAGTTCCGTTAACTTCGGCTTGTCCTGTTTCTTCTGCTGTTGCGACGTGATTATGACCCACGGGACTGACTTGGGCCATTACTTGCTACTACCGCTAATAATAAATGTCCCTGGGATATTTTAGCTTCGTTAATTTCTGGTCGAAAATCTATTCCATATGACATTAAATTAAACACTGTTTGTAGTACTAGTCCAAGAAAAATACAAAATATAAATTAAATCTGATACAAAAATGCAGAAAAAATCTTCAAATAAGATCACAGTCAAATATCAGTGTGTAAACAACTAGCCCAAAGGCACATATCCAAAATAAACCTGGAGCACTGTTTTAAGTGTATTATAGGACAAGCCTATCATACCATGGTTCACCGACGAAAAATAATAAACCGAGACGAAAAGGCGGGATTAATGAGTAATTTTTCAGTCTGTATTTCTGTTTAAGGTAAATAAGGTTTTAATAGACAGGTTGTAGCTCCGCCCAAAATTTAACACCACTCAGTTGCTCGAGTAGAACTCAACAGAATTTTTTCAATTGAATTAGTCTTTTATAAAACCAATGAATGGGAAACACTGAGAAGAGATTTTGTACAATTAGTGATGTTTACTCAATTTTTTCAATGAACTTTTCCGGGTCGACTCTAGAAGAAGAGAGAGGTGGATGAAGGAATTTTCACGCTTGAAATTTTTCGTATATGAAACTGTCTATTTGAATTATTTCAAATTCAATTGAAAACTTTAAACTATTGTTGAGTGATAGCTGACACAAATAAATCCACAATAAAAAGGAAATTGATTCTAAACAAAATGATAGTCCTTATATTTTTAATTAAATGATACATATTTTGGAATAATTTCCATTTCCCCGGTGTCAAGTAATTGGGACCTTTTTGTATATATTTTGGATTAATTCTCTATTTATCCCATTGTGAGAAATTATTTTTGTCATACAAACAATCAAATTCTACAAAAAAGATTATAGACTTAATTCCAACAGTGTAAAGATATTTTGTTTTGTGTTTACTTTTTAATTAACAGTATGTTTCTCAAACTTTTTTATATAAATCCACAGGATTTGCGTAGAGAATTGATTCATTAGTATATTTATGTAAAGGACTAACTATCTTACAGTATTTTACGCTTTTAATGGGTTGACAGTATTTCTGTAATGGAATTTTGACGCCTTCGTTTTTCTTACCTAAATCTTACACGGATTTAAGATAAATCGGAATTTTGTTGATAATGTTGGCCTCTTATCATGGCCATGTGAAAAAACAATGCCGCCATCAAAATAAACATTGAAAAATGGAAAGTCGTATTTGTATAAATTATTAATCCATTTAAAGACAATATTATACTTTTTTCAATATACTACGCTAATCCACTAAATCTTAAATCCGTAACCTAAACTTTAATTATCTTTTATCAGAGATAAAAGTTTACAAAAAAATCTAGATTTTACTTGTGAATAATTAACATTTCAGCAATTATTGGTATGAACAGTCTCTGTCAATGAAAATCATTAAACAAATATAAAATTAATTTTAAAAAAATATGTATATAATCAACGCATATTCAATTCTCCTGTGGAATTAAAGTTTTATAAACTGTGCCAATATATTACTATGAATTCTGGAAAAATAAAATATAATGAAACGTTTATTGGAAGATTTTTCTCTTTTATATATTTATCAGATTTCACATTTTGTTGACTGTATGGCTAAAATGAGTGTGGCTTAGATATTTATGTTACTATCATTTTTTAACTGCAATTAATAATATTAACTTGGTTTTTTAAAACAAATGCAATCTTTATCATCTGTCGCAATGATCAAATCTACAGTAAATGGTCCTATTACATCTTGCTTGTAAAATAAAAGCTTTTAAGGTAAAACATTTATTTGCGAATGCTTCATTAAGGAAATTAAGGAGTACATGCAAAAAGTGAAAGCTTTCTTTGTACTGTTTTCTTCCGAATGTTTTAACCTTCAAGATCCAAGTCACTTTGTGTGTGTCAGCACAAGAAGTGGTACATGGAAAAATTGTCTACCAATGCAAATACCAGAACATAAGCTATGATCAAATTAAGGAATACAGCAGGCGTAGTTATTAAGTGTAATTTTTTATTTATTTTGAATTGTTCTGTTTTCACTTTTTCGTGTAAAACCTGTTGGATGTGTACTTAATGAAATTTTATTCTGGAAAAAATTGCTTAATTGTTAGTTGTTATTGGCTTTGAACAAAATTTCAGTTACTGCGAGTACCCTAAATCAGTAATGTGTGTCTTTTTTCTTTTTTTTTCTTTTTGTTAGTTGATTTTGTGCTTCGTGCCGATCAAATGAGTAAAGCTCTATCCAACTGATGTTATTGATTTGTCCTTATGTAGTGCTCTTACACCACTGACCCAGGTTAGGGGAGGGTTGATCTGTCTCAGACACGTTTAACCCTGCCTCATTTTTTATGTCCCTGTCCCAAATTCAGTGGTAGTCATTGGTTGTTGTCTGTAATATTTGTTTTTCGTTTGTTGTATTATAATAAAGCAGGTCATTGGTTTTGTCGTTTGAATTGTTTGAAATTGTGATATGTCGGGCCTTTTATAACTAATTATTCGGTATGGGTTATACTCATTGTTGAAGGGCGTACGATGGCCTATTGTTGCTGTTGAAGGGCGTACGACGGCCTATTGTTGCTGTTGAAGGGCGTACGATGGCCTATTGTTGCTGTTGAAAGGCGTACGATGGCCTATTGTTACTTATATCCTCGTCATTTGGTCACTGGTGAACAGTTGTTTTCTATTCGTTTGTTGTGCTTGAGCTTTTGATTTTGCCATTTGAAAAGGGACTTTCCATTTTGTATTTTCCTTGGGGTTCGGTATTTTTGTTATTTTACTTTTTATATGCAATTATACCGCATCTCCAGTTATTTTAATACTAAAGATCATTCAAGAAACGCATATCGGACACACACATATCCAGCATACACATATCGGGCACACATATATCGGTCATACACATATCGGGCACACACATATCGGGCGCACACATATCAATTCCACACGTTTAAATTAAACACGAAAAGGCATTGAAAACAGACTTTCAACATAAATGAAACGAGAAGGAGCGACAAAGTAATTGTTTTAAACATGACCAAGTTCTGGTCATTCTGTCAGTAAGAAACTATGTTAAATGTGCTTGTAAAAAGTACTTGCAGTTTCAAAATTTAAGTTAGTCAGGTCTTCATTGAGTTTTGAATGTGTGAACATTTCCACAAATAAAGCATTACTCAGTGAATGTTTTCATAAAAAGAATAAAGATCAAAATTCTAAATTCAGAATTACATCTAATCGAAGAATATCATTTTCACAAAGCAAACATAAAATGTTTTAAATCCCTAGATTTTGCAAATAGCTGGAAGAAAACTATATTGATTTTGACTTCATAACGTCAGCTATTTTATAAAATATTAGTGCATTTTTTTATACAAGTCTTATATTGTTGTTTTAAGTGTTTATCCTAAAATTAACTTAAATTTACTATTATTTATTTAAACACTTTTGAAGTACTATTCAAAAATGTAATATGAACTCCGAGTTGGTTTCATGGCTTTGCGTTTTAAACTGTGAACATTATGTAACCTAAAACATTTCATTACCACTGGAGTGAGGATGTTTAGAGATGAGATTAAGAAAAGAATAGTGGTCATAAGACGATTTTCCGTCCATTTTGCTGACCGTTTATTACTTTCATGTTTTGAATGTAAAACAGGTACTTCATTTAAACAACGTATCATCGGTTAAGTGGTTTGGTGTTGCTTTTGCAATTGTTACATAGTTTGAAGTGTGGATCGGTATTTCATGAACAAAGCGGCTTAAGTAAACTCGAGACAGACTGGCGCTACCGTTCAATGTTGTAAAAATACATTTTGAACAAATTAAAGTTTCCATTTAAATAAGAAACAAACGACTTATCCTATTTAATGAATAGCAATTTAAAAGGAGTGAAAAGCTACGATTTTCTTATCTTTTAATTGGTTCGTATATATTATGGAAAAATCTGTTAACTAAATTGTAACCATTTAAAATGTTTTGGTACCATTTAAGCACAAGTAAAAAATAAGTTGGCACCTTTTGCTTCATTAACACATGAAAAAGACTGTCATAAAATGTCCACAACCTTTTGATATCATTGACGATATATTGCTAAAACATAAATATATAAAACACATTTAAAAATCAATTAGCTTTACATTTATTCGATTAACATGTTTTCTGGAGCAACATATACAAGCAATGTAAAGTTTCAATCTTTAATTATTTCTCGGCTAATTGATTTGTTGATCCTTATTTTTTTTAAACGGTCAACGAGTAATGAGTTTCATAATGAAATGTCCACACATTCAAAACTCAACAAAGACACAACTATCACTTTCATAATGAAATGTCCACACATTCAAAACTCAACAAAGACACAACTATCACTTGTATTTGGATACTGCATGTACTTTTAACAAGCACATTTTGCATTGTCTAATATTGACAAATTAATTAATTTGAATAAAAATTTTATCTGCAGTGAAAAAAAATTTCTCTGTCATCTAGATCTAAAAACGGACTAGCTTAATACAAAAAGAAAGTATAGGTTATTAAAAGTACAAATAATTCAAGGCTAAATTAGATAAGATATGTATTTTTCTATTATTGTAAATAACAACATACCCTATTAATCAAGTTTACATATAGGGATGAATCAACCCTCCCATTGATCACAACACTTTGTACGTCTGTTTTGATAACTGAAATTAATTTGACCATTTTGGTCTAGTACCTATAATTTGTTGCTTGTCTAAGTTTTGTGGGTGTAACATGATAAGATGTCAGGGTTTCGTCATCAGATGAACAACAAGGTTCTTTCATCCCCACCTCTCATTCGTTATATACTACAAGACTGTATCATTTATCTTAACTAACTAAAACCAAAGAACCGTCACAAAAATATATAATGTCCACAAAATATAATGAACCATACACATATATAAACGACAAAAAGGATCACATCATGACCCCTGTTTACAGAACACCTGCTACAAAGAGATGAGGTCTTTAAGAATTGTTTTGTTTGTGTGTGGTAAAATGTTAACATAAAAGTTACGTCAGCCTGCTTCGTGCTTATTTACTATAACATATGTATTTAGTTAGATCAAAATACAAGAACGATGTTTACGGAAAGAATCATATAAAGTCAAGATCCATGAATTCATCTTAGTTACAAATATTGTAATAATTGTTATGAAGATTGTTTGTAGTAT